AAGTACCTATTTAAAATAATTCAAAGAAAATATCTTTTAGTATTTTTAAAAATACACTCTTAAAACACAACTTATTTTTATTTAAATTATAGAGAATATAACGTTATGAAAAATTAAATTTTGACAGATTTGACAAAATAAATTTTAAATATTAAATAAGCAAGGACATACGTTTTACAAGGCATATCTGACTTAAATTTCTTGCAGTATACACCTGTAATGTATCTTTTTATATTTTTTTACTGTTTTAGGTGACATATTTTTAGGATGGTATTTATGTTAAGGCTCAGCTGATTATTGATAAGGTTTTAATTTATGTTGATATTTTGTATTTAATAAAAGCTATTTATTGCGATAAAAATGTTGTTTAATTGTTGTTTAGCTTAGCGTGATTAGATTTAAACGAACAAAATTTTAGGAACATTATTATTAATATTTTTCGATAGAATTTTCCGTTTTTAATTAATTTTGTGTGTGTTTCTTTAATTACCTATAATTAATAATTTCATTCGTAATTTTTAATTTTTAAATTTGCTTTAGTTTCTTGTCATAAGTTGCTTTTATATGTAACAGCCGCAAGGAATATGTAATTTCGTGGCTTTGCGGAGAGTGAGCCAAATAATGAATTTCCTGATTGTTCAGTTTTAACTTCAACCCGTGGGCGAAATGCTAGTTCGTCCACGGATTTAGTTAAAATTAAAAAAGTGAGGTTAAAAAACTGCTTGACAGTTGTAAGATTTCAGATATAATACCAAATAAAATTGGTTAAAATTCTTTGCGCTAGTTGAATAAAATATTGTCCTTTTTCTCCGACACACAATGAACAATATAATGTTTTAATTTATATAGCATAATACACACAATACGATACGCATTTGCATTTCGAATTGTCTTTATTGCAACAGTACAATTTGTTGTCCTTGTACGAAAAAATTACGTTTTATCACATTAGAATATACTACTAATAATTATCGTATTAATAATTTATTTTATGATTTTTTTTCTTCTTAATGTTAATATTTGTAAGACAATTTTAAATTATGAAAATATGTGAATATGTGAACTGGGAAAATTGCTATCTGGCTATATTACAATTTACGTTTTTTTAAGTTTTGAAAAAGGCGAATGCGCCAGGAATAAAAACAGGTCTGTAAAATTTTTGATGACTCCTGCCTTTAATGTAGATCGATATAAGCCAAGTTAGTTATAACCGAAATTTCTTGGAATATATAGAGACTATGATTTACAAAAATTAAAAATAAATATTTACAAATTACATCTTAAAATTGAAAATCCAAAAAATTTTATGCGTCCGGACGTTAAGTTAAGGTAAATTAAAATAGTAACAAGATTATAAAGCGATACTTTTTTGCTCGTATGAGGAATTTTTATAACAAAATTATCTAGTATTTTGTTCTGATTTAATTGCAGTGCAAAAGTATGAGTGCAAAAAAATTATTTTTTCTAGAACCGTTAAAAAAAGCATTTTTATATTGATATGCGTTTGAAAAATTCGTTTTGTTTACCTTAGTCGGTGAGCGAATGTATTTTTTACCTTGACGACATCCGCAAATGTAGCATTGGTGCACTAGGGTGTGAATGATCAAATTAAATTGACAAATGTCAATTTGATTTTTACAAAGCCTAATGCAACAAAAAATGATATATTAAATTTATTATTTTAATAAAGTTGTAGAAAACATGTTTTATGCACTTCATGTGCAAAATTTCTTTGGTACTTTTGAATGATTTTTTGTCTTGGCTATTGTTCAATTTTGTGCAGCAGGAACATAAATAACTATTTTGCATTATTCAACAATGACCTACTTTTGACACTTGAATGTCAAGAAAAAAAAATGGTATTAAAAAATAGTATATATATAGTATACACGAATTTAATTTAGGCAAGAGCGAGCTTGCGAGCGAGTGCTTAAATTAATGAGTGTTTAGAAAAGTTTATAAACGAGTTGCATAATATACTTTTTCTACGACAAATACTTACAATCATATAGAAATGATTTAAATTAAGAATTTGTATAGTATATCTAAAAAACAATAGGGGAATCTGTGTTACTGTCAAATGTCAAATTTGTATGTGTTATAAACATAGATTATTATAATAAATCAAAATGTTGTATGTATGTATCTTGAAAATGGATTAAACCACAGTTTTTCAGTGAAAGTGAAGAAAATGTTTTATTAGCATTTCACGGTGTAGTCCGAACCCGACTTTAAGTTATATCTAGTTTACTGCTGGTGAAATTAAAAAATTCAGATAAACTTTTCAAATATTGGCGTTGAGAAATTATTTAATGCTTTTGTATTTTTGTATACAGATAATTAAATAATTTTTACATTTAGTATTATTTTAGAAGAAGGGCACTTTATTTTAACGATTGTATGACATTTGAAAACTGTCAACTAACTTAAAGCTAACTTCAGCCCGTGACTAAAACTCAATGTGTATTTAAAAGGTCACTTACAGGTGGGAGAAGTAAAATATATTTTTATTCAAGAAAATAATGAAAATAATTTTTATTGTTATCAATACTAACAATACAATTTATTCCCTAAGGGCTTAAGGGCCATTCCACGCGTAACGGATAGGACAGTTGCCGTGTTTTTATTTACAAAATAATATTGTTCTATTATATTACCAATTTCAAATTTTTATAAATAGTTCTAAACTAAAGCTGTTTAACAAGGTTTTTATTTGGCAAAATTAGGTATCGTGGTTGACTGTTTAATTCCTTAAAAACTAATAATTTAAAGCGTAACGGACGGGACTTTGTAATAGTTAAACAGCTTTTGTTTAGAACTATTTATAAAAATTTGACATTGGTAATATACTAGAACAATATTATTTTGTAAATAAAAACACGGCAACTGTCCTATCCGTTAAGCGTGGAATGGCCCTTAAATAAATTTTAAAAAGAGGTTTGACATATCTACATATTTTCTTCACATTTTTAGTAATTATTTTGGAAATTATTATGGTACAAGAAAAAATAAAGGATGTAATTATAATATAAAGACAATTTTTTATTACTCACCTTCAGCCCGTTATAAAAATTCTTTATACGTGCAAGAAAGTGTCGCTTTATATTCTTGTTGCATAAATTACTATTTGGATCTATAATATATCTTATAAGAAACTACTTAAAAATCTTAATTAAAAAAGAAATTTGAATATAAATAATAATAATTTAACAACATAATGACATTAATTTTAATAGTAATAAAGCATAAAAAAGTAACATTTATATTATATAAACGACATTATAAAAAATATCTAAAATTTTGTTAATTATTCAAAATGTAGTTATAACTTTGTTTATATTTTTAATTATTTTTGTTTATATTTTTACTTTTTTTAGGATTGTTATGGTATATACCGGGTGTTTTTAACCTTTCTGGCAAAATGCGTGTGTGTGGGGGTACTATGCTTCACACCCAAAAGTCTCATCACGTCACTTTGATATAAATAATTAATGTTAATTTTCTGATAGTGACAAGCATATTTTATAAAAATAATACAATATGTATTTTTGTTTTCTAAATTATCACCTTTATACACAAAAATACCTATATTGCATTATTTTTAAAAAATTACCTTGAAACCTAAAAATATCCTTAATTATTAGAGAAAGAAAGTAACTTTCTCTATGGTGTGGACCATAGTACATCGTGTTGGCTTGTCAATGTCAATGTCAACAGGGTAGCCATTCGTACGGTGTACAGTAATTGTTGCCATTCGTACGGTACCCCATAGCACAAAAATATTGGCCCAATATTAGTTATAATATTGGGCCAATATATCTTTCGTCAGATTTTTCTAGCATGCATGCGCATGGTCCAATATTGAAACCCAACATTGACCCGAAGTTGTTTGACATTATATAACCGATATTGGAAATCCGCATTGGCCCGAAGTTGTTTTACATTATATTCTAGGAGAGTTGAGGGAGAAACTGAAAAAAAAAGTTAGCCACCTAGTACTTACTACGTAGTAGGATTTCTAAAATGATATGTGACGATCGTGTCGACATTGTCGCCCCGACAAACGTTTGTGTTCAGGAAATGTTTATAGTAGGTACTTAGGGGCATAGAAGCGGGGGGTGATAATGCCCACCCAAATGATAAGGGGGAGAGGGGGGTTACTTGATATAAAATGTACCCTCCAAATTCTTTGAAAAAATCTACCAATAAGACAAGTCGAGTACCGTCTATGTTATTCTTAATTACGATGAAATGCTAAACTCGTTTGTATCGTGTGCTAAAATGATCCGCTTGAGCTTTATTAACGTAATAACGAATTTTATTGCTAATAAGACAAGAAATCGCATATTACCATTGTTATTCTTACTGTTATATGCAATAATGGCCTTTATTATTTTCACCCATTTGGTGCTAAACAATATGGATGGTAGTCGGTTGGGCCACCCCCAACTTAATATAGGACCAATATTTTGTGCTACTGGGGGAATTACTGTATTTGTACAATAATTTAAATGGAATCACGATTTTGCATACTTCTTGATAACACTGTGCGACAAATTTTGACCTTACAATTTGAACTGGGATGAAATGTGGAAAAATAGAATCTTTGCAACCCCCAAAACTAATCTTTAAAGGGGTTTTGCTAGTTTAGCTCGAATAATGGAGATATATGTTCATATATATATGTATATCTACATTATTCGAGCTAAACTGGTAAAACCCCTTAAAGGATTTGTTTTGGGGGTTGCCTAGATTTGATTTTTTCAGATTTGATCCCAGTTCATTTTTTGTGTTGCACAGTGTAATATATTTCAAATATTAATGATATTGTTTGTTAATTTTATAATATTGTATATTTTTTTAATCATAAAAGTATTAATGATATTAATTTTGTTTCATAATTTTATGATTTTTTTTTCCAAAAATGTATAACCAATTGGAAATTTAGGAATTTAGGAATTTAAACATAAATAATATCAAAAAAGAAATAAAACAAAAAATGTAAATAATAAAATTTTATATTATTTATGTACAAAAACGTGGCATAAATAGATCACAGACTTTTCAATTATAATGCTAACACTTCACACTCTCGCTTAAACTCTTATTCGGTTTTGATAAGAGGATGTACAGCCACAGAAGGTCCCATACAACCGTCTGTTCCCACAATGAAATCGTGGAAGTTACTTTCAATAGCCCACATGAGCTGTTTGTAACCTGGAACAACCTGGGTCGGCAGACGGCATTCACCACCATTTTGTACCAACAGGAAGTTTTCACATTTGAATGGGGTAGCAGAGTTCCAGATGTAGATATCGGATTCACCCTTGTAACGGAAAAATAGAGCTGCTCCATTATCTGTTCCGAGTAATACGATTGGTTGACCTTGTGGTTTAAGGCCTAAATCTACAATAGATCCGCTGGCTTTTCCAGTTTGTAAAAGGGACGACTTAATGGAGTAAAGTCTTGGTGATGATAGGTAGGTGAAGTAAAGTACGTTTCCGCAAGGTTGTCTGGTCAAAGCCATGTACAAGACATCCTTGACTGGTGTGTTGCCCAAGATTGATTCTGGGAGAACTACTTTGTATCCAGATTTGGCGACGATATCGTATACAATGATGGATCCGGTACCAGCATCGCTGATGTAAGCAAAAGCACGACCGTCGGGGGCATAATCGATAGCCAAAGTCTGGAGACGGCTTTCAGCGGAAGCGAATGGAGTCAAGTCGAGGATGTTTACCACATTACCGCTGTCCAATTTGATGGCGAACAGTTTTGGTGCACATCTTCTGACGGGTTGCTCCAAAGTGTTGGTAATACCAATATCCAAAACCCAGAGAATATCATTACCGTCGGCAACAATATCAACAACATTCTGCATGGCTTCGCAGTTACCTTCTTCTTGAAGGGACCAACATGGGAATGGCTCTAGGGGAGCTTTGCATCCCTTGTTTTTCAATGAGAATCTAGCTAGAGTGAAAGGTACACCGTGCTTGTATCTTGGTAAAGCTACGATGGCGTTTTCTTTGTAAATCTGCATTCTAGTGGCAATTACGTTTTGTGGTACATATCTTCCAGCATTAATGTAAATGTTTTTGGTGCTGTCACAGGGGAAGGTCATGAGAGATCCGCTCACTTTGAAGCTCAAATCAGGGATCAAATTTTTGTTGCAGCATTGTGCATTGGATCCAACAAAGAGCACTGAAGCTAACAAAAGCACTGGATAGGCTCCCATATCTATAAAAAAAGTTTAATTATATAACCTGTTACAAAAATACAAAACAAAACTACATACCTGATGTTTCTCAGAAATTCCTAGGGAGAATGTACGATAATTTTACTAACACCATCGTTATATATCGCTTCGCAGTTTTGTTTGTATAACACAGAAAATAATATTTTAGTTTAGCATGGATTCCCAACCTTGATTTTAAACTTGTTGACTCAGTTGCGATGCGGTTATTGTATTGGACACCTTGAATATGTCAATGCACTGGTATAATAAAATTTTATGTAATTAAATTGTAAATCATTAAAAAGAAAAAATATTTACTAATTACATAACAAGTTTAAGCAAACAATGTTAGTTATATAAAGTAAGTCAAAAATATCATGAAATTTTGTATTTTTTTCTCAATAATTATACAATGTAAGAATACAATGTAGAGATTTATTTTTATTATAGGTATTTAATAATTAAAATTTTCAATTAATAATAAATTATTTGTTGTTATTTAAAATTGAATATAATTTTGTACAGGGTGATCCAAAGTTTGTAGATTAAATGCATGTTGGCTTTTATAGAGTAAAACTTTAAATATAGAAAAATAGAAAAATAAAATATAAAGGAAATAAAAAAATAGGCACATTTAACATCAGCAATAAGACCTAATTAAGATTGATGTAAAAATAAAGAAAGTAAGAACAATGTGCATTAATTTTGATATTTTAAATAAATGTTTATAAAAAATTTTAATGTACAAAATATCCCTGATGTAAAATAAAGTCCAAATGATACAATAAATAATAAAATGGCCTAATAAATTATAATCTTGTAACCATCCCTTTAATTTGTCCTTTATAGATGAATAATGATTTTTTATATAAATTTATATATAATAAATCGAAATAAATAAAAAAGTAAATGGTAAACAAAAAACAAAAAACCTTGAAACATCAATCAAAAAGCAGTATTGCAAAAAAAATGCAGGCAAGTCAAAAAATATTTATACTCCTTTCGAAACATAGAACCTATAATAAACAGTAGGTAATTAATTTTATTAATATGAACTAAAAACAGCTTACACACATTTAACAAATTTAATTATATATAAATGCAGATTTCGTTACGTAATTTTAAACTATTAAATCATGAGCAAAGTAATTTGTTTTATATTATTAAAAACATGTTCTTAGTTATCACTAGGGTTTTAAAATTTCCGGAAAAATTGAGCCGGAGGAAAAAACGATTTTTTTTTCTGTAAAAAACGGAAAAATTGGAAAATTTTCAGAAAAATTGACTTGCATTTTTTTCATTTTATTTAAAGGGTAATAGAATTTTTTTTTTCTGAAAATTTACAAATATCTGTACAGTGATATCAAGAATAAAGTAAATTTTCGACTTTGATTATAATCATATAATACATGATTATAATAATTATTCCTATTATTAGAATTCAGTAAGTATCTTCTACCGGTCGCAAAAAATCAAATTCGGTGGGGTATTAACATAACTATCGTTTTATTGGACACAACAATTTATAAAATTATAATTTTGTAATTTAACTTTATAAATCATTCATTATTTTGTAAATGGATATTTTCAATATTGTTAAGTTGTTGATTGCTTTGTATATTTTCAGGAAAAATCAATGTTTTCCAAAAAAAGCCTGAAAAAAAAACTGTTTTTTTTTTCAATTTTCCGTTTTTTTTCCCTAGTTATAACTAAAATTATAAGTAAATTATATGGTTAATAAGACTTTTTTACATACAAAATGACCAATTGTAGTTGTAATAAATAACGGTCATTCATACTTAAAAAATAAACACAGTTATAGAATAAAAGTAAACATAACGTAGGTATATCACGTTTAATAAATTAATCGACCTCTATTTTTCTAAAACAAAACATGTAATATAAAAGGTTCATACCTTATGGTAAATCCTCACACATCATTTTATTCTTGTGGCAGATACAAGGTAAGACCGAAATTTTTTCATACGTTATCAATAAACTAACCCCTTATTTTTATAGAAAAATGATCTGCAAGGGTTTGCTTTTTCTAACTTTGGCAGTATTCTACGCCAATGCCAGTTGCGAAAAAAGCGTGGTAGAATGGACCGGAGGACTTTTTAACTGGCCATCAGCAACCACCAAGAACATTTACAAGAATTCCGGGAGATACGTCTCAAAGAATATTGTCGCCACCAGAGGACAAATCTTCAAGGATAGTGCTATCGTAGCTTTGCCAAGACTCAAACCTGGAGTACCAGTGACTTTGGCTACAATTGACCTGAGGAAACAGTGTTGTGAAGCCGTATTGAGGCCTTTCCCATGCTGGGCCAATCAAGAAGAAGGTTCCTGCGAAGCCTTGCAAAACGTTGTTGACTTAGTTGTTGATGCAAACGCGATCCTCTGGGTTTTGGATACCGGTGTTGTAAACACAATGACCAGCAACCCAATCAGATTGTGCCCACCTAAAGTAGTGGCCTACAGTCTGTTAACCGGAAAGAAAGTAAAAACTTTGGACTTGTCTGGTTTGGTAGTATCTGCTTCAAGACTTCAATACATCGCTGTAGAATATGCTCCAGATGGTCGCCCATTCGCTTACGTAAGTGACGCCGCTACCAGATCCATTTTGGTATTCGACATTGCCGGAAACAAAGGTTACAGAATTGTGTTGCCAAAGGCCGTCACTGGATCCAAGAGAGACGTTTTATACCTTGCCCTTACACACAAAGGATGCGGGAACAACTTCTTGATATTCACATACTTGTCTGGAAACAGAATTTACTCCATCCGCACAGACTACCTTAGAGCAGGATGCGCTGCCGGTAAAATCGTCGATCTTGGTGTGAAATCCAAGAAAATCATCCTTTTGGGAACAGACAACGGTAAAGCACTGTTCTTCAGAAACGAAGGAGAAAGCCAAGTATACAGATGGGATTCTGACAAACCATTCGTTCCCAGCCATTTCGAGCTTGTCTTCCAAGGAAACCAATGCCAATTGGCCACCCAAGTCATGCCTGATAACGCCAGGAACAAGATTAGGGTTATGGAAAGTAACTTCCCTGATTTCATTCAAGGCACAGTGGGTTGTGGAACTTCCCATAAGATCAGTGTTATGGGTGGTACCATTGATCACAAATCAAAGTAAATACCTAATAAATGTCTTTATAGACATGTAAGACTGTGATATTATAATAAATATAATAAATTATGTATTTTCGAAACAAGTAATTTTATTGTATCTATTTTGCGTTAATAATGACTTCATTATAACACCGCTTTCGGTGCTGTAATGAAATACTTTATCCCACCCAAATTTATTTTATAGGTTAGCATAATATTTTGCATATTGGTTATATTTTTATGATTTTTCTAGTACTTACAAGACTTTTCTAGCAATAAATTTTGTTTAGCACCAAAGAAAATCCTTTTTTTCTTCTTTAACATTAACAGCCGCTTATTGTTAATAAGTAAATTAAGGACGGCATGCCGAAACAATTTTGACATTAACTGTCAAACCAATGACTGTGATACCAACTATCTAAAGTAAAATTCGACCAAATTAAATTTAAGGTATAAAATTATTTTTTTTATAAAAATTTTGCAAAATAGATAAAATAGCACAAAGAACTCATGTCATAAGACCTTTTGTCGTACTTGTCCATTACAAAACTCGCTCCTTTTATAAATATAGACCGCTTGCGACAAATATTTTTTGTATAAAAACTAAATATAGATTTGTTGAAAGTAAAATTTTAATTTTACTTTCTTTTATTTGTTATGAATATAAATAAATCAGTAGGTGTAGTAAATTATATACATTATATACATTTACTTATTTAACAAAGTGATTAAAATATTAAAATATATATAATAATTAAAAATATAATTATAATTTATAAATAACAAATCCCCTAGCAAAATATTTTGCTCAATAAATAAAATAAAAAGAGTTTAGATTGTTAAGGTATAATAATTTTTAATTTTCATTATAGTGTAATGGTAAGTTTACCGCATAAATAAATTTTTCATTATTTTGTATAATTTAAATTATTTGGGTTTGATTTAATATTTTTTTGCGTTAGAACCATCGACTGCCTTGGTCTTTAGCTTTTCGACATTTTACCTATATTATTATTTTTTGTTCCTGGCATGGGGTTATTTACTATTCTATTTTTCGTAGTTGTTTATTAAGTTATTCTTAAAGTACCTTTAGTGATTTGTGATATTGCCTTAACATTTTTAGAAATCTTTTTTAAAATTTAAAAATATTTTAATACTACATATTTGTACCCCAATAGCCAAAATGCTATACAGAAAACATGAAAAAAAAATAATTAAATAAATAACATAATATATTATAATAACACTGATAAAATAACTACAATCAGAAATTTAATACCAAATACATTATGACATTAAAATAGTGGTAATACATGAGACCCATTGTTGTATGTTTAGAGGTAGCTTATTAAATTCAATCTTACCCTTTTACATAGTAAAATTGGACATTTGTACTGTTTTACAAGTAGGTATCAAGTTAAAAATGGTTTATATTACGAGTATTATAATTGTGGAAATATTATACATTATCGGACAAGTAATCGGGCACTAAATTGTTCTTAACCTTAAAAATAAACAACATAACTTCAACATATATTTTTTGTCTTACAGAAAACATATTTAAGACATTTAACATTGTATAGGATTGTATAGTAGAGTGGGTCGAAAAAAGTAAATATTTATTTTTTGGAACGCTTTAGTAAGGAAAAGTTGCCTATTGTATTAAGAAAAAAAACGACATAAAAAAATTTAAATCGGTTAACACCTTCCGTTCGCGCATCGTACTTAAAGTTTATGAAATATTGCAAAAATCGCTCCTTTTTTGTAAATGTTTTAAGTCGGTTAAAACTTTTAAAATAAACACCCTATATTTTTTATGGTTGTTTTATGGTTTAAATAAACTAATTAAATTAAATTCTGATCAATAATCTATGCTTTTCCGTTTGCGCAATGTCTTGGAATAAAACAGAATTTTACCAATTTTTCGCAATTTTCACTGTGCAACTCTTCGCTCGTTTTGTTAGAACAAAACGACCCAGAACTCACCACGTGGAGGTGGTTGCACGTCGAGTTCCACCCACACCCTACCCAACCAACCACTCAATTGTTGGTAGGATTCCTTGTCTGACTGTGTTTTTTACTTACTCATATCTTCTACACATTTAAAGTCTGATTTTTTAGAGAAATGAGGCATAACCGATCTAGACTTTAGTGTTGCTCGGATATAGCCATCTCTAGGCTCATGTCCACATACTTTATTCGAGGCCTGTGTCACAAGTTTGAAGCACCTCTCCACAGCCTGGGTGTGACAGGGAAACTTTTGTATTTCTCTGATGAGCGTACTTTTAGAATTGATTAGTGATTTAATATCATCCTAACTTAGGTCCCGCAGCAATGGGGGAGGATAAATTACACAAGAATTCCAATTAATAATTTCAATGTAATCGGAAGCTTGAAAGTTTATTTTCGGTAGCACGAAATTTCTAACAGTCTTCTTCTTTGTGACGGTTTGCCTTGCTTTTAAGATCCTTCTGTAACCTAGCTTCCGAATATGTTCTCTTTTATCGAGCATTGCTATCAGAACATTCTCTGGGTGTCCAAAGAATGCATTTCGTTGTATTACTGGATCGACAACTTGAAGTAATTCGTCGGAAAAATACCGTGATGTTTGAATAGCTTGAAAGACATGTTTTGGTCCGTCAGTAAAATATTTGTTCTTTTTTATGGCAAACCATACAGGCACGTATAATTTTAAGTTGAAACCAACTATTTCTTTTAAATTTTCGGATGGATATGATGAACTTATATACAACCTAAGAACTCGGTTGGCCGCAGTTAGCCATCTGGAATGGGACAAAGGACCAGGGTCCCGATTTGCCAAGTCTTCTGGACAATGTCCCAAGGTTATTGCATTTGAAATATCCAACAAATACTGTTGGTCTTTGCTCAACAAATTCCTGTCTATATCAGGAACCGAACAGTCTATGGGTTCATAATCGACAACAGGAAGTTTTTCACAGTTAGTAAGCTGTTGCCCGATTGACCCACTAAAAGTAGTAGGCCCTGCAGTTTTACCGTCAATATATTGAAAAATGTGGCGAAAAGGAAGCTCATTAAAATGCAGGAGGCATATGCTCCACTGTAGCGGGCGTCCAACATGATTTTCTAGCCGGTGTATGACACCATTTTTCTATCCAGTGTTGATTACAGTGCCATCACATCCTACTACTTCTAGTTTTTCTAGTAACATTGATAGTTCAGACAAACGAGATATAATGCTTTGAGTTATATTATTTGATGAACTCGAGGAAGTAGATACATGTCCAATATAAGTTGATCCAGGTTCCTGGATAAGAGAATAGTGTTCTTCTTTCTGACTCCTGCGAAATTGCTTGGCATTTAACTTTTCGACGAAAATAGTATCATCTTTTCGTCCGTCAATCAGGGGTGCGGCAGGGTAGAGGGAAACCAATCTAGTTTTAGGCAGTTCTGTTTTGTTTTGTTCTACCAAAACGAACCAAGAGTTGCACAGCGGAAATTGCGAAATATTAGCAAATTTAGGTTTTTTAAAGACGTTGCGCCTACTAAAAAAAATAGATTATTGATCAGAATTTAATTTACTTAGGTTATTTAAACCATAAAACAAGCATACAAAACTAAATCGTAGTTATTTAAAAAGTTTTAACTGACTTAAAAAATTTACAAAAAAAGGGCGATTTTTGCAATATTTCATAAACTTTAAGTACGATGCGCGAACGGAAGGTGTTAACCGATTTTAATTTTTTTTATGTCGTTTTTTTTCTTAGTACAATGGGCAACTTTTCCTTACTAAAGCGTTCCAAAAAATAAATATTTATTTTTTTCGACCCACTCTATTGTATAGGTGTATATATAACGTTTTACATTTAAAATTACTCTAATAGCCAGGGGCGTAGCTACCGCGGTATCAGCCGTATCAATGATACGGGGCCCCCGAGTGGCTTCGACATGCGTAAGCAAAAATATATATTTCCACATGTTAAAAAAATTGAGTCATGAAATTAAATAAATAATATTATTATTTAATTGTTTATACTTTGATTTATTAAATTAAAATTTTCCCTAATACCCTCCTGTTCCAACGAGGCAGTTACTCATACGAATTGTTTCTGCCCGCACCTTTCCGCTATGCGTTGTCTGCGCATATTGTTCTGTGCTTTGCGCCGCATACTGAGTCTGCTTTGCGTGTTATTATCATCTATGATATATATATTAATAGAAAATTAGAAATAATTATTAGCGTTACAATTATTTTAAATGACTTAAGGCAATTGCCTTTATTTTAAAAGATGTTGAAAAACAGTAAATGTCTAAAACCAGACAAAATTTTAAAATTTGCCTGTACATAAAAAGCTATATATTATCTATTGAATTATAAAAAATTGGTTAATGCAAAAAAATGATACCCTAAAAAAATTTTTTGTTTGCCCAAAGTAGATTTTGGGCGTGACACCCAGAATTTTTTTTTGCCAGGAGCTTTTCGCCCCTACCAGATTTTTGATACAGGATCCCCTCGAGGCTAGCTACGCCACTGCTAATAGCTATATTCTGTATAATTTGTATTTCAATAATTATGTACCTACCTAGGTAAATTATATAAAAGGGATAAAAAATTAAATATTCGGCTCTGCTATACTTTTATTAAGTAATAGATTTGTGTACAAGGACAGATTATTACCTATTCTAGTTATAAAAAATACTTTTTTGCTCTGCTTATTATATAGTCCGCATGTTTGTTAAAAATTAATTGTTCATCAACACTTATATACTTAAATAATTAAAATTAACATTTATAGACTTATATCTACTAACAAATACAAATTCATATGTAATTTTTGTCACATTAAAACATAAACTGTTGCTATTTAACCACTGACACAGTAATTTTAAATCATTGTTTATTAGTTCACAATAACATTTAAATTGTTCCCTTCTATAAATAACATACTATTATCTGCGAACATTTATTTTTCTGGATTTAACTAATTTTGCCATGTCATTTATGAACAATATAAATAAAATAGGCCAAAGGACAGTTCTTTGGGGTACTCCATATAATACAGGTTTACAACTTAAAAAATAAACATATCATATTTAACTTTTTGTTGCCTATTATAAAGGTAGGACTTAACCATTTCAGTACCTTTTCCCGTAGTCCTATTTTTTTTAACTTTAGCAATAACAAATTTATATTAATTGTCTTAAAAGCTCTCTTAAAGTCTAAAAAAGTTTTCCAAAATCCATCGCGTTCAAATATTCATCACAAATACGTATAATATATACACGGTGCCACGCAATAAGCTACAATATTAGAATACAAAAAATTCCGACAAGTATTTTTCGATATGTTACGCATTTAGGTTTAAAAATTTTATTATGAAAAAAATAAAAAAGGCATCAGCGGTGAGCTAAAGTTCTAAAAATTAAAACTTTAAATCATCATAATATAGTATATGCATTTTTTTATTGCTTACAAATTTTAACGTTTTATTTTTAAAAGGCCCTTTAAAAATTGTTTTTATATCTTTTTATATAAATAAATAGTCCCAACACACAAATAGAATTCAATGATAGGGGGTTGGTGCACAATATATATATTATTGTTAAATGCTATTTTTTATAGAAGTATATTTCTGGTAATATATATTTTATTTTATATCCCCAGCGCGTTCGCTATATTTTATTTTTTAAAACAGGTTGTTTAAAAATGTAATATTACACGAACCGTTTGTGTATCTTTCTGTACGCTATTCTATATATCTTGACATAGTAGGTATATTTAAACAAAGAAAAAACAACTTTTTATTTCGACCTTTTGTATACGAGCTATCCATACTTGATATCAAATTTCGCTCGGTATAAAACAACAATTAGATCATTGGTAATATAGTACAGCAAATAAACCAAGAATTTGTTGCACAATTAATACAGGACATTAAATTACCTACTAAGATAATTTGTATTATAAAGCTAAGTAGCATAAAACTATTTCATTATAAATTTGTATTTAAATGTTTTTATTTTAAACTTTAAAATCAATGTCAAAACCTCGAAATATTTTAATAACACAAATTAATCTAGCCAACTAGACACTTTCTCCAAAATAAAATCTAGCCCAATATTAATATTTTACATATAGGTATGTTATTAAAAAAATTCATAACTTTCTTAATTACTTTTTCTTTCATAAATTTGTTATTAAACTATTTGTAGTTCTGTTATTGAAAACAAAAAAACAATTAACTGCAGCATTGTTTGCATTGCCCAGATAAATATTATTAAATATGCACCTATAAACAATAATTTACTACTGTTTTTAGACTTTTACATTAATAAAACCATTACTTCCGAGACATACTAATTTCTGAAATAAGTTTATGTAACTTTATACGCAGTGAATGTAAAAATTTACCAAAAAATTTGTAGTACTTAAATAAATTATTTTGTATACAATAATAATCAACATTAAATACGTTCTCCGCTCTAAAAGGAAAAGCTGAAATAGAATCCTTAAAACGCAAGAAGCTAATGTAAATGTTTTTTATTTGGCAATCTTATATTATCTTATTAAGATAATCTTAATATCTAATATTGGTTTTAATTTATTTATTATATGGTTTGTATTAAATAAATAATAATCGTATTTAATTAGGCCTATAATTTAAACTTTTTGTTATCAACAGTCGTTACTAAAATAATTGATTATGGCCTAGGCAGTTAAACATTATTTAGACCAATAGGGTTGGGTATTTTTGGCCTAGGCTGTAAAAATTTATTTTATATTTATTAAGTGTTAAAACAACAGTTTTTTGTCTAAAAGTAAAAGTCTTTTACATTCGTTGCTATGTACGCAAAATAATTTTATAACTGTTGCTATGTACAGGGTGGTCCACGTAAGGTGACCCATATACTTATCTCAGAAACTACTGGAGTCACAAAAAATTTGTAAGAAACAAATATTCACGAAGTAAAAAATATTTTTAAAATATTATATTTTCATTTATACAGGGTGTTCGGTTTTCCTTGGGACGATACCAACTTTCTTATTTTCAATGGAACACCCTGTATTTTTTTGCATTTTTGGATTCTTCCCACTCTCTTAGGTATACTTTGTTAATATAATAATTAAGAAAATGTTAATACTTCTTGAGTAAAATTAAGATTTATTAAAATTTCTCTAAATGTAGACACTCGCTAAAAGTTAAAAATAACCAACTAAAAGTTATTATTTTGTATATTATGTATTATCCATCTCTTTAATAATAAGTAAGCTATAAGTTAATTATTATATTTATTGGAAAATATCATACAGGGTGTTTTCTATGTCCCGTTGAAAATAGCGATTTTAAAAGTTTAAAATCTTGTTTTTATTCAATGGAACACCCTATATATTTTTGCATAATTGGATAAAATAAGTAATTACCTTTCATTTTGTATATATATGTCCTTTACCTAAACCTAACAGAAAAAAAAATATTCGCATTTTTCACAATTAGTAGCTTTTTTCCAATTACCTTAGTTAAATTTTCATTATTCAAAGAAAACAGCCTGTATAATATTTTCCAAAAAATAAATTAATTAACTTATAGCTTACTTATTATTAAAGAGATGAATGCTACATAATATAAAAAATAATAACTTTTAGTTGGTTATTTTTAACTTTTAGCGAATGTCTACTAATTGTGAAAAATGCGAATATTTTTTTTTCTGTTAGGTTTAGGTATAGGACATATATATATAAAATGAAAGGTAATTATTTATTCTATCCAATTATGCAAAAATATATAGGGTGTTCCATTGAAGAAAAACAAGATTTTAAACTTTTAAAATCGCTATTTTCAACGGGACATAGAAAACTTTTAGCGAGTGTAAACATTTAGAGAAATTTTAATAAATCTTAATTTTACTCAAAAAGTATTAACATTTTCTTAATTAATATATTTACAAAGTATACCTAAAAGAGTGGGTAGAATCCAAAAATGCAAAAAAATACAGGGTGTTCCATTGAAAATAAGAAAGTTGGTATCGTCCCAAGGAAAACCGAACACCCTGTATAAATGAAAATATAATATTTTAAAAATATTTTTTACTTCGTGAATATTTGTTTCTTACAAATTTTTTGTGACTCCAGTAGTTTCTGAGATAAGTATATGGGTCACCTTACGTGGACCACCCTGTACACAAAATACTTAATTTATAAATTGTGGCATACGTTTCCAAAAAAATGATGTTTGGTACTCGATTGCGAAATTCTTTTGCATTCTCGAATGATTTTTTAGCTCTCTATCGAACACCAAAAAAACTTTCATTCTCGAATGCATTTCACAATTTAGCATTAAAAAATACTATATTTACGACTAATAAAAAAAATCGACTTCTGTCAGATCTTTCAAACCTTACTTTCTACTTTTAATAATTACTCTGTTTAGCGTCTGGATTTTTTTCTACAATGCGTCTCTATAAATAATCCCGCTCGTTTGAAAAAGGAGATTCCCATTTAAAAATTTTGAACCAAATGTACAGGGTGCTCAGTAATTAGGAAAATATGAGATTGCTTCAAGGGAAAAGTACCTACCATGAGTTTTAGAAAAAAATTAAAACTCCTGATTATTAAAAAGAACTAGATTTCCATAAAAAAATTAATGATTTAAATGTACGGGGTTGCTTAGAAATTATTATTTTATGAAAAACATGTTTATGTTTTCTTAATTTCTGAGAACCCCGTAAATTGAATTACATTTAATGTTAAAATAAAAAAATATTTAAAATTTATTTTAAAATGTCAACGATTTTCTTTTAAAAAGGTAGAGAAGAAGGGAACTCTCCAAGCATTCATGTTTTAATTTTTGAGGAACCTGTGAATTAAATTAATTTTTTTTATTGTTATCTTATTTTTTGAGCAATCAGGATTTTTTTATAAATAATGCATATTTTTTGTAAAACACTACCCTTTAAGGATTTCCATGTTTTTTTATTAAGAAAATTTTAATGGAATTCTTATTTTTTAAATATGCATTTAAATAATTTAGACAAATTAGTCGATTTATCTTTTTAATTTTTAAGGAATGCATGTATGTAGGGGATGTAAATCTTTTTCTGTGTAAGTAAGTAGGAGATGTAATAGTATATTATGTATCAAGTTTGATAAAGGCCTTTTTAGACACGAATTTAATTTAGGAGTGTCTAGAAAAGTTTATTAACGAGGTGCATACTATACTTTTTCCACGACAAATACTATCTTAAAATGATTTAAATCAAATATTTGTTTAGAGCGCCATCTATAAAACAGTAGGGGAATATGTGTTACCATCAAATACCAAATTTGTATGTGTTATAAACACAAATTATAAAGGTTATAAATCGAAATGTATTCCTTGAAAATGGATTAACAACAGTTTTTTACAGTGAAAGTAAAGAAATGTTTTATGAGTCAGAGCCCGAATTTAAGTTATATCTAGTTTGATGCCGGCGAAATTAAATTAAATTAAATTACTGTCCAATGATAAGATAAGATTTTGCTTTTTGTTGAGAAAGTGAGGTTAAAAATTATCTGATATTAATTGTCAGATTTTATTTACATTTTCAAAAAATTCTTTAAAAAAATTACCGCTTTATTTTGAAGAAGTGTTCAAAATTAAAAAAAATATCAGGTTTTATTATCTTTGAAACAAGGTTATATATTTTTAATTTTATTAGGCATAAAAATACATTTTTTCCATTCTTCTTACCAGTAGCTTCCTCTCTAAAAATGAATTAGTCAAAAATGACTAATTTAATAGTTATAAGTGGCTGCTTTTTCACTTGTACCATGTTTAACCATGAAATACCATGATATCCCAAAATTTAACAGCCAATTCTTATGTAAAATTGACCCCTGAATCCTAAAATATCGTCAAAAATTATGAAAGTGAAGCAGTTTTTGAGATATAGTCAATTCCATATTAAATGGAAAATTGACTATATATCAAAAACTGTTCTACTCTTTTAACTTTTGACGACATTTTCGAATTTAGGGGACAATTTTACATAAGAAGTGGCTGTTAAATTTTAGAATACCATGGTATTCCATGGTTAACCATGGTACAAGTGAAACAGCAGCCACTAATAACTATTAAATTAGTAATTTTCGACTAATTCATTTTTAGAGAGGATCCACACACTTAACTATAAACATTGTTTTTAAAATTACCAAATAACATTTTACTTAAGATAATATAATTTATCTACCTGTAAGGATACTTGATTGATTTAGAACCAAAGTAAAATTATTGACATCATAAATTACCATTTATTAAAAAACTGATGACAATATATATCTATATGAATATGATATAATATATTATAAGTTATTATCTATTATGAATAAAAAATAAAAAATTATAATAGTTGGTAAAATAGTCTACTACCTTTAACTACCTACTGTATTTTTCATAGTTTTGAAGCAAACTATCTGGTGGTCCAAAATCGGTTTTGAAAATAAAAATAAATCGAATCGAATTGAAAAATTTGAATTTCGAATCAAATATTGAATAGTCATTGAGTCATTCAAATGGTTAGAATTATTCAATAGTTCAAAATATTAGAATAGTTCTTATATTGAAAAATTTTAATTTACAAATCAAATAAGTTACCTAAACTATTAAAATGAATAAAAACCTTTCCAATAATTAAAAGCATTCTGATAATTCAAACCATTTAAATTTGTTAGTTTGAATTATCAAATTTAAATTTTGAATTATTGAATAAAATTCGTCTTGAATAACTCGTAAATCACTTCAAATTAAAAATAAAAACATTAATATAAACTATTTTTCTTAAAATCGTACAAGGATTCAGTATTATTATTTAATTAAGAAACACCCTGTATAAATTATAATATAAACAAATTAGTTATGAATTCATATTATGAATTTAATTAAAATAATAAAATTTAATAAAGCCCAGTCTTAAAACTAAAAATTCTGTCCCAACACATGTGTATAGTAAAGCGGGGTAAAAGACCGCGTTGTGTAATACCGCAGTTAAGTTTTTCCTTCTAAGTCGACAGTTTATTAGCAGTGTTCGTTTTATAACGTCATTAACGTTTAATTAATTTATTTAGGGCCGGTTTATCAACCTCTGGTTAAGTTGCAGTTAGTCTATCTGACAGATAAATTCGATATCGATCGTTGCGAGAACAATGGTATCCATGGAAATTATCTACCAGATAATTAACTGCAACTTTAACTGGACATTGATAAACCGGCCCTTAGTGGGAGTGTTACCGAATGAAACATCAATATACAAGAAAAGTAATTTATAACAATTTTTTAAATGTACTTTAGTTTTTAAAACATTAATCGCAATGTGTGTATTAAAAAGGTATTATATACGAGTATAATTTAAAAATATATACTAAAAATAAATTTTCTTTTTTTAAATACCTAAATTTATACATAATGGCCTAGTTCCATACATCGATGGCTTAAAGCCCAATGCGGCTAACTGTAATCCTGTTTTAATTTACAATAGTGGTAAAACCTCAAAATTTAAAACTTTTGAACCAACCCATTAATTTGGTTGTAAATTGGCATATACATATGTAAATTATAATAATTATTAAACAAAACTAAATTAATTTGTTTTTTATATTGTTTAATTTATTCAGACGTAACCTTGCATTATTAAATATAAATATTTTTTTATCGACGATTGTTTAAATATCCTAAATAAACTAAACTCAAAACATAATTACGTTTTATAAAAGCTAAGTGAAGATTTTTTTAAATCTTGACAATGGGTATAAATAAAACCACAAAAAAGTCATTCAACTATATTATTGAATAAATATATAATTATTCAATTATATCCAAATTATTATTAATAAAAAACCTTAAAATCTAATAATTAAATAACTAAAACTCGTTCAAATATTAAATTTTATTGTTATAATCAAAGAAAGAATCTATTGTACTTAAGCAACTTAACAAATCTGTGGGTGACATTGGGTTTGTCTTCCGGATAATGATAAATCATGTTAATGTTGTCGCAAACATCTGGGTTAACAGGATTTACCAATGCCCACAATCCCAGCTGTGGTCCTGTGAACAGCTGGGATACGTATGGTAATTTTTGGTAGGATTGCGCTAGGATGCTGTGGTGTTCGGCTTTTAAAGGTTTGCTAAAAACAAGAAGTACAAAAAATCAATATATCAATAATTATTAATTATATTTCATAAAAAAAATCGAACAAATCTAACGAGAAGATTATAGTATATTATGTATCAAGTTTGAATTCTATACACGAATTTAATTTAGGCACGAGCGAGCTTGCGAGCGAGTTCTTAAATTAATGAGTGTATAGAAGTTTATAAACGAGGTGCATACTATACTTTTTTTAGGACAAATACTTATTATCTTAAAATGATTTAAATCAAATATTTTTATAGAGCGCCATCTATGAAACAATAGGGGAATCTGTGTGTCACCGTCAAACGTCAAATTTTTATAAACACAGATTATAAAGGTTACAAATTAAAATGTATTTCTTGAAAATGGACAGTTTTTTACAGTGAAAGTAAAGAAAATGTTTTATAAGCACTTTACAGTGGAGTCCGTGCCCGAATTTAAGTTATAGTTTACTGCCGGCGAAATAAAAAGGTCAGTACAATGTTCATATAAACTTTTCAAATATTGGTGTTGAGAAACTATTTAATACTTTTGTATTTTTGTATTGAGATAATAACATAATTTTCACATTTAGTATTATTTTACAAGAAAGGCACTTTATTTTAACGATTGTATGACATTTGACAACTGTCAACTATCTTAAAACTAACTTCAGCCCGTGACTAAAAACCTGTTGCTTACTTCAGCCCGTGACTAAAACGCCGTAAAGCCACAACTTGTCAATGTGTATTTAAAAGGTCACTTAGTGTTATGAAAACATGTACGATAATGGTCGTTTTAAAGGTGGGAGTAGAAAAAAATATATACACGGAGTACTTAATTCGGAAGAGTTCCATTTTAAAAATAGAAAATTAACTACATAATATGTAACAAATGTTACGTATTATTAAAACGTAATAATTTTAAAAATAGTGAGAATTAATCAATCAATTTAAAAAAATTTCACTAATAATTATTTATAATATATAATTATTATAATCGTGACTAATTGAAATACAATCAGATTCATCGAGACACGAAAGATCCGGCCGGATTAATCTCTAATTAAAATAAATTGAAAAATTAAATTAAATTAAATTAAAAAATAAAAACAATTATTAGTAAAATAATGTTTATTTAATAAACTTTATGAAGGTGCTTTGTTTAAAACAACTATTTATTTATTTTTTCTTCTGCTCAAAATTTTGTTGTAAATGTAGAACAAAAATTCAGCTTTAATATTAAAGTAATTAATTAGCGTCAAAAATGGTAACATTAAGATACACGTAAACTTGGGATTTTTTTTAATTATATAATTTAGCGGCATTTTATGCTACCATTGCGTTTAAAAATGCATTTTACTAAGAAAAGTACCTTCAAAAGTGCCCTGATATGAATTTTTTAGGGATTATCTAGTCATCAAAATAACTCGAGAAATATCAATATTAGAAATATGGTTCAAAGAAATTTTTTAATGGAAAATTTAATTTTTCATAATATAGGAAATAACAGCAAAAAAAAACCAAAAATGTTATATTAAATGTAGTGATCCATACGTACACACCTGTGTGAGTTACAGTTACGCTGCACTTTTGTAGATCGTTAATTATTTTCTTCTTCTGCATTTTTAACAAAACTGTAGTATGCCGCTAAAATTTAGGAATTTAAAAAAAAAAGTTTACGTGGGAAATGGAATTTTTTTTACGCCAAGGAAAAGTACTTAAGATTAATATAAAGAGCTGGAAAAAAGAAACAAACTAAAAATGAAAACGAGGACCACATACAAAAGCAGATGTATTATTTATCTAATGCTATTTAATAAATACTATTTATCTACGACAGTGAGATAAGAACTTCTTATCCCACTAATTTTGAGTGAGATAAGAAGTTCATTAACGCACGCGTTTTTCTCTGCTTTTAACCGATCAAATAAAAAAGTCAAAATGTCAAAATAACCCTAAATTAAGTCTTAGACAAAAATAATTACCGTTTATTTTTTCATTTAGAGGCGTAGATAAAAATTTAACGCTTTATTAACGTACTTTTGCGATTGCCCAACTCGTGCTACGCACTCGTTAGGCAAATTTCGCATGCATACGTTAATAAAGCTCTTATCCCACTTATATCGTAAATAACTATTATATATTTATTTATTTATATTATATGTGGGTTGTGGTCACAATAAGGAGATATTGTGTGGTTTTAATTGTTTTTAGGATGTCCCTTTCTTTTAGAGTTCTCTTTCAGAAAATAAGTTAAATGTCGTATGGGTTACGGTTATTGTTGTTGCTTTATCCAAATAAATATCATAATTGTTTGTTATTTAGTGTTTTATACGTTTAACTATCTCCCATAATGTTCTGCTTTAGGTTTCCACGGGCGTTATATGTATTAATGGTTTTTCGAGATCTGCTCCGTGTTGTCGGTTTTTGTTGTCTGACGACGTTTCGGTACAATATCATGTACCATCTTCAGGTCTTATCTGCTGGGCTGCTGTTGCTGCTCTGCTGCGAGTTAGACGCAGAGCAGCAACAGTGTTGCTGCGGTAGATGTGTCCAGACTGACTTGCCGATACATCTCGCCGCTGTCCTGGTCATTTATTTCTTTTAAGTGAACAGTGCCGAGCTTGATGCGTGTCTTCCGTCACCGACTGCCTGACACTGATGAGACCCAACAGGTCGAAACAGTCTGTCCTTCAGTGTTGGTGGGTATGGTGCATTAGTCATGGATCATACCATTCGGGAGACGCGCTTCGAGCCCGGCTCGGTGGCGAGATGGAAGGCATTTCAGTCTTTGCAATATTGGTTGCCTACTACTTTCGTAAAGTAGAAAACCTATTGTTTCTGATATATATATATATATATATATATATATATATATAGCGCCCTGTTTAATAATTTTTGATAAATTTTAATCGCAAATAACTAATGTCGGATTTAAACGAATTTTGAAGAATTTTGTAGATAAATTAATGGAAAATTGCTCACATTTTTTAAATATGTACTAAAAAATAAACATAAACAAGTTTAAGACACTCTAAATTAAGTTTTAATTATCAAGTCACATGTATTCTTAATATGTTTGTTTTTGGTTTACCTCGATATCTTAACACGTTAAACGCCACGGCGTTATTGGTGATTTTGTTTATTGGGCCAAGTTGATATTTTACTTGTATCATTTTAAAAAATAAAATCGTCAAAATACAGATTAAAAAATAAATAATTAAAAAACTCTTGTATCTTCGTCAGCCGTCAGGGCCAAGCGGTCCTATGCATGCTTTAAAATACCTTATACGAGCGGTCCGCTGGCCAGAAAATCATGTTAAACTGTTAAACAAAAAATTGACAGGCGGTCCCTAGGGACCGCCGTGGCCTGGATGGACAAACTATTAGCGGTCCCCTGGGACCGCCGTGGCCGTTAACGTGTTAATTTTTGTGGAAAATATGGATTTAAAAATAACATTGTAATCTTCTATTTTTTTCTATACAAAGAAATAAGGTTGCTATGGAGGATGACAGTGACGTTTTTATTTTTGCCACATATACGATTTTTTTTCAGAAACAATGCAAACTTGTTTAACAAACTAATTAATCCTCTATAAAACCATTATACAACTTTAAACTCAAAGCACAAAAATGGCACGCGCTATTTAAAGAAAAACACACTTAAAAAATAACAATAACAATAAAAAATCTCTTCAATAAGTACTTTACGAAGCTCCTGTAATTTGGCTGGACCTGGAACCGGCGAACGTACTTTTTTGTCCAATGTATCCCCCACATGTTCGATCGGATCGATATACATTTACGGCTTTCTAAACATGCGTTAACACGAAGGGTAAACCACTGCTTTTTTAAAATAAAAAATCGCTTACGAATTAATGGCTAAGGAAAAACATCACACAGTCATCGTCGCTAAAAGAAATTTCTTATTGATAAGAATATCCATTTTTTTAAAAAAAAGAAGACACCTCACACAATAATTTACAAAAAACAATTTGATAGCTTTTGAAAGCCGTATATGAAATGTCTGAAATGAAAGTATAGGATATTATCTATAATATAATATAATGTACTATAATCTGTAGGATGATTCACAAAACTGTCACTGTCATTCTCTCAAAATTATTGTAAATTGCTTTTTTTTAATACATATTTTCTACAAAAATAAAGATATCGAGGTGAACCAAAACCATAAATGTTAAGAATAATAATTAAAACTAAATTTATTAATTTTTTTTTTAGCAAATTTTTAAAATGTTAGCGATTCTCTATTAATTAATATACAATATTCGTTTAAATCCGACATTAAAAAAAAGTTATTTGTGATTAAAATGTATTAAACAGTTGCGATCGCGCTATACAAGGTGTGCCTAAACTTAGTGGCATAAATTTAGGAGCAGATTAAGCAAGTCAAAATAAGACGAAAATCTAAATAAATATTTTTCCCACTTTCGTATGTTTAAAAGATTCAGGGTGATAAAGTGTTACTTATCATATCAGTTTTTTTAATATAACTTCTACTGTGGTAGACTTGGAAAGGTGATATTTTGCGAACAGTCCCTTACTACCAAAACACATATTCACACATAATTACAATTCGATAAAATAAGCCTTTAAGATTACAATAATTGTTATATCGCATTAAAGGACTAGAAGGTATGATAACAAATTTTTTAATTGAAAAACTACTATTTTTTTAATGTGACGGTCAGGGCAAAAAGTCCCGAGGCTCATGAAATGCTATTTTTACTTTTTTCAATTAAAAAATAAAATTTGTTATCATAAACCTTTTAATACTTTTAAATAATGCGATATAACAATTATTGTAATCCAGAGTATCTCGAAAAGTTTGAGAGGTACACCTTTTTAATGGTAGCCGAACTGTGTAATTTAAAAATTGCATCAAATGTTATAAAAACCTAACCTCAAAGTTTGTATGGGACAATAAGCTTAAAGAAACCCCCGTTTGTACGACACTGTGTTTACTCAAACAATTATAATTAAGTGTGAATTTGTGTTTTGGTAGTAAGTAACTGTTCGCAAAATATCACCTTTCCAAGACTACCATGGTAGAGGTTATATTAAAAAAACTGATATAATAAGTAAAGTAACACTTTATCACCCTGTATCTTGGAAACATAAGTAATTAGGAAATATATTTATTTGGGTTTTCGTCTTATTTCGTCCTTCAGGTCTTATCTGCTGGGCTGCTATTGCTGTGAGTTAGACTCCACGAAAAACCATCAATACATATAACGCCCGTGGAAACCTAAAGCAGCTATTTAATTACAATATTGTATAAAAAATTTTATAAATCAAAAATTAAAAAGGTACCTTTTGAAATGTTGCAAAGAGTTTTTAATAAACGTATCTATCTGTTTTTATTTTATTTATTTTAATTTTTTATGAATATTAAACTTTATTTTAATGACAAACAAAAATAGATACTTTTTTATAATAACTATAGCTATTTTTCAAAAATGTTAGTCGTACGAAAAATGGTCATGAAATCAAATTTGCCCTAATGAATGAATGGGGATTTAAAAAATAATTTTTATTTTGAAAAATAGCAGTGGCGTGCATAATATTTTTCCAAAAATATCTAGACCAAATCATGTACGGACGCCACTGGCAAATAAAAAATAAAAAATCTTCCACATCAAAAACTTACTGTTAATGCTTAGAAGGCGTGTGCCAAATTATATAAAAATATCTAGGAAGTTATTAAAGTTATGATAAAAAAACGATTTTGTTCTTAAAACTTTAACACCCTGTAACTTAAAAATTAAGAGGTTTAGGTCATAGGTTTATTAAAACTTTTTTTCTTAAAATCAACTAAGGATTCACATCCTTAAGGTTCAGCATCTTAATCTGAAACACATGTATATTACAAGAAAAAACTATATTTTCTTAAAAATGGCGAATGCGCCGGGATACTAGAATGAACATCACAATAATATTATTTCACCATATAGGTAGAGATTGTTTACAAAATATTTAAAAATAAAAATATAAAACTAAAAAAGTTTTTTTTCTTACTCTATTTGCCATCTTGCTACTGCATAATCACGCACTAAATAATAGTTAAGTCCAGATTTATAATCAGTATCTAATCCTCTTGATATTCCTAACTTGTTTCCCAAGAAAGTAACGTTTGTTTCCACAATGGTATTCTAAAACATAAGTAATTTTAATTTTAAAATATAATAATCTTAAAAACTACTTTTGCATCTATTAATGAAGGTCCAACACTTTTTCTAACTTCCTCCAAGCTCATCTCATAAACTTCAGTGGAATTCCAACCAGTCATAAACAAAGTCGGCAAATTTTTACTGATCGCCAAAAAGAATGTGGATATCGACATGTGGGGTTCGCTTTTTTCGATCAATTGCAACCGCCACCATTTTAGTTCTTGCAAAGAAACCACCAATAAGTGATTATCCCCAATTTCGCCAATGTACGCTTTTAGACCAAAGTCGAGATGGGGGTCTATGACTATTTTGTTAAGGTGTTTTTGAGGAATACCTTTAAAATGTATTTTTCATAATAGTCTGGTATTTTTCTATGTTAAAATTAAAATGTTTGTTTTACCTGTTAACTCGGAAGTTTGTGTAATAGAATTT